CTTTTATAAAAAATCTTTATAAAAAGATCTCCCTCTCAACTCAGACCCAGAGTGATTAGCCAGTTCCATTTACTGGAGCTTTCCTGTCCCAGCTGGTAAATGTGTTACATTGCCCTCTGTCGCTTGTCCTGCATTTTTCCCACCAAGGAAGATCTACTCTAAAGGGATGAGGAAAGTTTCACTACTCCTGATAGACAGCAAAGACTCTCTGCTCACTCCTTCTGTAGATATCTTTGTGTTTGGAGAAAGCTAAAAATCCTCATCTGGTATTTAAGGTCCAAATCTGGGAGAAGTATAATCCTGGGAAAGAAGAAACATTCATCAATATTTAAGGTGGGAAAGCTCATTTCTTTTTGCTGTTCTGCTGTACTTCTCAGGGCACATTGGAAAGCAACTTAAAGCCGATTACACACAGCTGAAATAAAGCTGGCACTGGCCCTTTGCTTCTGCTCTTGCTCTTCAGTCAGGAAGACTATGATAGCCAGAGCTTTTGGACAAGCACAGAAACCCTTCCCAATCTGAAAGTGACACAGTCAAATTGAAAAGTTGCTCAGACACTTACAATGGTGGGTACTGCACAAAGTTGCAAGATTTTTTTGTGTTTCCTTGTTATACTAGCATCTAGTGATGGATGGTGCATCTCAAAATAATTTCAACTCTTAGAAATTTGTGCTGCAATTTTGCATAAGGAGGAGGAGTTTTGGACACCTGAACCTTCTTACAGAAATCTGATTTCCATTATGGTTTTAAGGGACTCCTGAAAAAAGCCAGCTTCTTCCTTCTTTTTTCTTAGACTAGGAGTCATGTATCTCTATGATGAGCCAGTCTAGGGTCAAAAACGAATTCCCCCCTCAACATTTTATTTCATCATTATTTACAGAAATAAGATAGCATACATGTTTAAAATTACATAGAAATTATGTCTTGGATATATATCTCAACACTTGAGCTTATATTTAACTATTTAATTAATGGAAATAGAAATTTTAAAAGGATGAAACAGTCTATGAGAAAATTAATATAATTTGAAATATATTTTATGTCTTTTTAGAGATAAGGATATTTATAAAAAGCAGAATTTATACTAAAAATATCCACTTATCACATACAGAAATTTCTGATATATCACTTCGATTTTCACACATATGCATCACGTCATTTAACTCCAGTGATTATTGTTTATATCCTTACAGCTCAGAGTGCTGCTGGCCTAGATATAAGGGTGGGGATTATTCTCAAGCAGTACAAAGTAAATGCTGATTACCTCAATCTGCCAATTGTTTTTCTGGAAATGTTATACTGAAGAATGTACCCCAGATCAGAATTATGTATTAAGTTCTGTTTTACATTACTTGATTATGTCCATGACAGAAAATGATTACTGGGACCTCCCTAGTGGCTACAAATCGGAGGTATTGTTTTTGAGTAATTTATTTTGTCTGAAGGATGGTGTAACTGTGTCATATAGATGATTCTTTTAAGCACAATTTTAAAGGAAGCATTCAATCTAGTGTTTTTCAGTCTGGATAATGACTTGAGGCCTTGGCTTAACCTCTCCTGTGTTTCTATTACCTCTAAACTCTAAGAAATGGTTATGAAATGTCACATACCTACCCTGCTATTCAATTTGTGCTCACAGAGGAAGTCATTCCAGTATCACAAAAGAATTCTGAAACATCGTTTATCAGCCTGTGCAGAGTTTTGAGATCCTTGGCAAGGGGGATAATAGGATTGTAAGGTCCTTTGTTTGTTTTTAAGATTTTTTTAAATATCAAAATAGGGATTGAATTCTATTTATATATTGCAGCAAATATAGCACAAAAGAAATAAAGCCTTTTAAGTAAAATATGTTATTTATACTTAGAAAGTAACAATTTGGAGACCTGCTGCCTTTCTATGGACTATTTCAAGTCCTTTTCAAACCGAGGGCATGACTCCCCACTTTCCAGGGTGCTTGCATCAGGACTCAGGGGAGTCTCACAAACCCTGGTGATGTGTTGGACGCTGCATATCACTTAGAGTTAATTGAAATCCAATAATGAATGACAGCATTCAATACCATACCAGAAATAATGATGCAGAAGGGAAGAAAGGTTCCCTGCTGACTGTGCACCTGAGGGGGCTCAAACACACTTTTTCTAATCACCTAGAGCTAACACATTTGAGCTATGCTTCTATGCTTGCATGTAACCCAACAAAACAATAACAGCCCAGCAATACTACAGTTTTCTCCCCAAATACTTTGTAGTTCATCAGCAGCACATGTGAGCCTACCAGAAAACCCCTTCTCTCTGTTAGTAATTATATTGCCTCTGGTTTTTCTTGTTGCCACAGTTTGTCCCTGTACTCAGCTTTTCTGTGATTTGGAATGCCTCACAGGCCTGTCCAACTTGTTTAAAATGGGTATGAGGGGTTATTTAAAAATTTTAATCTGAAGCATGACTTCAATGCATGAAGCTATGGCAAATCTCAAAGAGCACCATGGGTAATTGTGATTAGAGCCTATAAACTAGCACGTTTTCCTTGGGAAAGTCTATGAGCACAAGCTCAGCATAAATACATACCTACCCTGTGTGGCCTTTGAGGAGTGACAATGTGCTATCACAGCAACAAGGAGCCACTGTGACTGTTCTCCTTAATGAATCTGTTTTTTAAAATTTTTTGTTGCAACTTACATATGAAAATTAGATTATAGCTTCAGTATTATTATTACTGGAAGTGTGTTTTGAAAAAGAATGGCATGAATACTGAGGAAAAAAAATCATTCTGCTTGGATTACATAATGTGTTTCATATAAGAATAAATCCTGAAGACTTTACTTTCAGTGATTCTTTTTCTCCCTCAATTTTGATATCTGTGAAGTCACTTTTTCTTAGGACAAGTAGCTAAAACTAGTTTTCTTTAGTATGAGGGTTGATTCGGCATCTAGTATCAGTTGTTAATTCCTAATATCTGGGACTTACAGGCAGATCCAAAGAAGATTTTGGATCCACCATGGATACCTAACTGACAGTGAACAGAGCACATTTTCACATCTGTACAGGGAGAGATGAGGGCCTTGTGTCTTAGACACAGCCAGGGTTAGATGGTTGCTGAAAGAGAGTTTTTCAGATTTCAGCTTTTGCTCCCGTGTCCTAATCTTTGTAATTTTCCATAGTTTGGGCTGTCATTTTACAGGTTATTCTAAAGCAAAGACATTCAGCTTATTCCCTCTCTCTTCTCAGTCTTACTCCAATTTAAAAAATATCTCTAAGTTGGAAGGAGCAAATTGTCTTGATTGCCCAAGTTTATTTCTTCCTTCTTCTGTTTCTCATCCTCTACTGTGGAGTCATTAAACCATGAAAGGAGAAGGAAACAAGGACACCACCAATTGCAAACTGCAACAATTAGGAAGCAGGAACACCCCAATTCAATAGGTAGCCTAAGAATTTTTTTCTTATTTTTTTCCTACGTCTCTTTCTCTCCTATTTCCCTCCCCTCCCTCCTTGTCCCCCCCTCCCCCCGACCCCTTCCATGTCTGTGCATCCTATTGTACATGTTCATGTTGGGACTGGTATTGATTCAGGACCAAACTTCATCAGAATAATTTCAGTTAAACACAATAAGCGAGCCAGTGACATTAAGAGGGGATAATTGAGATGGTGCTTTGGGCAGTTAGATTGAAAGGAATGGAGATAGATAAGGATTGGTTTAAAATGCAAAAAAAGGGCTGAAATATTATTGCAAGCGTTATTTAATTATTTCCGAGTTAACAATGCAAAATGAGGGTACACTAAATATAAACCCTTATCTTTAATTATTAAGCCTGTCCTGTTCTACTTGTACTGGAAAACCTGAAATCAATGGGAACGAATCCCAGCAGCGATCCAGTTACTACCAGAGAAGGATTGCATATACGAAAGGAGGGCAGCGTGCTTTAAAAGACAATACAACAGAAAGTAATGCAATTTGAGGCGGAAAAAAAGAAAAAAATACAAGCGAGGTTTGTTTCCTTGTCTGCCTTCATCCTGAGCTCACATTAAATGATAGACTTTTCTTCTCTCTGCATTCCAATTAGACTGTGCCAGTGGGCAAGCGGGGAAGGGAATGTTAATGAGGCAGCCGGCAGCGGGCTGGGAGCCGGGGCTGGCGGCTCCCCGCTCCCGCCGCAGTCCGGGGCAGCGCGGCGCGGCTGCCGCGGCTGTGCCCCGCCGAACGCGCGCTTGACCGGAGGCGACTGAGAGGCTGAGGAGGGAGGGCTACGGAAAATGTCTTGTACCGGTCCGGGGACCGCTTTTCGCCCCGTTTCTCGTTCGCGCACCGGCAACGCTGCCGCGCCCGCCCGCTCCGGGCTCCGAGGCCGCGGAAGCCGCCCCGGGCCGGTGCCGCTGCCCCTCGGCGGGGACCCCGCGCCCCCCGTGTCCCGCGCGGGCCGGGCCGCGGGGGCGGCGGGCGCGGCCCCGTGACGGCCCCCGGGGCAGCCCCGCGCCCCGGCAGGAGCGGGCACGCGCGCGCGCGCCCGCCGCTCGGTCCCCGCTCGGTCCCGGCCGCGCCCGCCGCCGCCGCCGCCCCGCGCTCCCCGCCGCCGCCTGCCCCGCTCGCCGGCGGCACCCGCCTCCCCTCCCTCCCTGCTTCCCTCCCTCCCTCTCCCCTCCCTCCCCGCCTCGGCCGCCCGCCCGCCCGCTGCTCCCAGGTAGGGTCCCCGGGGGTCCGCAGCTGCGGCGGCAGCGCCCGCCCGTGTCGGGGGCTCTGCTGCGCTCCGCAACTTCTCTGCCTGCGGGGGCTGCCCCCGCCGCCGCCCCGCGCCCCTTGCGCTCCCCGGCGGCGGCCGCCGGTGCTCTGCCGAGCAGCTGTCAAACGTGCTGGGCGCTCGGCGGCGGCGGGGGGCGGCTCGCCCGCGGTCGGTCCCCGCACCGAGCCCCGGCGAATGGCATGACTCTGCCTCCCGCCCGCCCCCCCGCCCCCCCGGCTGCGGTGTGCCGTAGTGAGGCGAGGGGTGGTTAAACCCCCATCCTCCCATACATACGGTTTTTATTTTTTGTTCCTTTTCGTCTCGGGGCTTTCACATCACGGAACAGGAAAGCATCTGATGCGCCGGCTCACATGCCACTTCTGATCATACATTGCCTCCTTGCACAGAGCAGGATCGTTGGGAAAGATGGAGATACAATAAGTTGCTAGTACCGAAAAGTGCTGCGGAAATCCAGTGGTTTCCTTTCTCCAGTGAAGTGACATATTTTCCTCGGGTTTAAGTTGAAAGCACTGCTTGGCGGAGACTGACTGTGGCTGAGAGTGGGTTTGTGTTTTTCTTGCACCGTTAGGTTTTGCAAAGAGCAGCGATGAAGAAGAAGCTGGCACTCTCCGAGATGCAGTTGGTTCTTCTCGTTTTATTGGTGTGGCTACCAACGAGGTGAGAGGATATTTAGTTTCGTTGTTCAGTGCGAACGTGTATGTTACAATCTGCTAAGGGTAAGCTTGTGTGAGGGGTTATAAAAGTACAGTATGTAGTAACGTAATAAAAAAAATCTTTCTTAGCTGTTTGAATGCAGTATTACATAGTTTAGAGAGCAAATGCAGTAGAATGTAGTTTAAGGACCATAAAAGCCTGATGTCTTGTCCTTAAACGGTTTGTGAATTGATGCTTTATTCCACCATTAAAATAACAATTTCTTTAAATGCTTTTTTGGATCTTAAAGACTTGAGTTACTGCATGACTGTGATTCTGTACCATACAAAAGGGAGAAATAGATTTTTATGAAGTCTTACTGCAAATCACTGTCCTTAAAATAATGCTCGTATATTTATTAATATGGCCATGCCTTTTTTTTTTCCCTTGATTTTTTTTTTTGGTCAAACATAATAGAATTCAAAATGATGCTTAAGCCTTAAACCTCTAGGTGGAGATAGCATACAACTTCACAATCACATATAATAAAACAATAGCATCATTTATTAATCAACTTTTCTTATGCTGTGTAAAGTTCTCAATTTCTAAAGTGACAGCACAAGAGCAAGTAATTTTTATTACATTACACTTTTGTGTTGCTCACAGTCCCTAAACACAATAATTAATTGTAGTTTGTAACTTTGATTTACTTGCTTTGGTTGTGGCTGCAGTAGGTCTTGTCCTAATATGGTAAAGATTGTATGCTATATAATGCAAGTTTCCTATGATTTAACATGTCTCCAATATTTTTGTTTGTTTCCCAGTGAACAAAATATTTTCTGAAACTATATTTTCTATTTCACTTTATACCTAACTATGGTGCAGTATTAGTTGAGTCACAGTGGGCCAGATCCTGCAAACCCTACTCAAGTGAGTAATCTTACTGACGTCAAAGAGACTATAAGCGTTATTAAAGACTTTATGCCTGAGTAAAGTTTGCAGGATTCGACCCTAATTTGATGTAATTATATTGATCTAATATTTTTAGTGGAATCTTGAGTTCAAAAACTGTTGTATCTCAAAAAGAAGCTTAAAAATGGCAGAGACGTACTCTGGTAGTCCATGAGTACAACAATACATTTTACAAACCGAAAAGGAACCATCCGGTTATTGCAACTAAGAAAAAACTGACACATGAGTAAAATCACACATGGCATTTTCATGGGTTCTTTACAAATTATCTGATTTGGGTCGATTCTATGGTTTATATGATGGAAAGCACAGACTGCAATGATTTACATTTAAATACTTCTTTATGGCATTGAGCTGGGACCAACATACAGCCTTGTCTTTAATCCTTTTATAGCTTGCTTTAGCGAAAATATCACCCAAACCTACTTTTGGTTTGGAGGAGGAGGAAACATGCTTGCTGTTTTGGCATTCAGAATATCTTCATTTCAAGATGATTAATACTCAAACATTTAGGGTTAAAAATTTAGGTAGCTGAAAAAGATATAAATGGTAATGTGCGTAGTATATGATGCTTTACTTCCTTGATACCAGTGTGCTGGTTTTAAGTAGTTAAGACTGATGAGCTCATGTATTTCACATGCATGGTGCTTAAAATTGTTGGCACGGTAACATTTGCATGTGTAAGGCTTTCTGTGTGTCAGGGCTTCCCTGGCACAAACCCTGTTGGTCTGGGTGCCCAGGTTCCAGAGGACTGTGGGGCACCACGGCTGGCTGGGCAGCAGGTTCATATTCCAGCCCCTATAGCATGTCCCACTGAGATTTGATCCATAAAGGCTGTAATGTCTGTTTCTTTATTGGGGAACTTTGAAGCCATCGGTGTTCTACAGATTCTTCTTGACACTTCATTTATGCTTCCTTTTTCCATCCAACATTTATAAGGTTTGTCTGCATCTGATGGAGTATCAGACAGTGCGTTTTATGACAAAATAGCATTTTAGAAAGATGAAGGCTGTCCACAGCTACCCTGCAGCTTGCTAGTCAGCACTGGTGTTCCCTCCCACCAACTGCTGGCGTCAGAGGACTCCCTGAGCATGATCGCTGGAGTTTTCCCTCATGTTAGTTCTTCTGGTCATGTACATTACATGACCATTGGGTGGAGGCAAATCCACAGGATTTATCCAGAGATGAGTATGCCTAAGTGAGGACAGATAACAGAGCTAGAAGGAGATGGGTTTGTGCATGGGAACCCGGGTTATCAGCCCAGGAGTGACATGCCACCAAAGCCTGGGAGGCTCTTCTAGGGTTTTGCACCAGTGCAGCCTCCACTAACGGTGTTTGGGGAGCTGGAAGCAGCACTCACAGTAATGCAATGATGCATAGAAGTACAGACTACTTGAAAATGACTTCCTGGATATTTTAAGTAGTATTCTGTTGACCCTTATATGTCTGAACTTGTTATATAGAAATTCTGTATTTTCATACTGTTAAATACACCTTTCCTGTTGGAATGCAGCAAGTAATGGCCTGTCTGAAAAAAATGCATGTTGAGTGTATGTTAAAACATACTTAGCACCTTCTAAAATGTAAAATATCCATTTAGATCGGTGCTGGCTGACTCCCTGGAAGACGAAGCTAAGAATAACATCACCATCTTTACAAGAATTCTAGACAGACTTCTGGATGGTTATGATAATCGCCTGAGACCTGGATTAGGAGGTAATACAACCAATTAAAGATTGATTTTAAAAAATCAATTTTAATGTTCAGATTTTATGCAGTGATATTCTTCCTTCGGGGTTTTTTTTCCCCTAACAACTGGTATGCATCTTGATAAATTATTTATAACTACATTCACCCAGATGAATCATTTGAAGTTTGAGGAAGATAACATCTATGAATGGAAAGAAGGCATTTTCACACATTTATCTTAAGTAAAAAGAAAAAAATCTGGTGTTTTAACATAGTAAAACAGAATGTGAACAAAAATAACATCTAAAGCTGTTATTCCAGTCAGGGAATTTTGGTTGAACAAGGAATCCAGGCTTAATTCCCTGCAATCTGATAGGTGTATGTTTTCAGAAATCTGCACAAGTGTTTTGTGCGATGCATATAAATTCCACATTTGAGATTTGTTCCTTGGCCCAGTAAGTTCAGTGAAAATGTTGTGATTTTGAACCCTTTGGAATTGGGGTGTCACTGGTAATATACATTTAATTTCTGGGCACCTTGCACTTATTTGAGCATTTGGAAAAAAAATAGAGAAAAAGAGAATATTGGAGGACAGAGGTCACTGCACTCTTGTGCCATGACTGTCAGTTATTTTTCAAAATGTCAGTTCACATTTTGATTTTAAAGCTGTATGCCATCTTTTGTCAGTATGTGTTACGTTGGCAAGAAATTTAAATAATTTTCGTGGTGTTGAAAATATTACTGTGTACAGAAAAATATCTATGACATAGGGAGGGGCTGAATATCTCAGTTTTGACAATATTTTGTCTACTACTATTGTTCATCTGTGTTTATACTATCTAACATTGACATGTATGATTCAAATATACACTTCTACTGCCATTATTATTATTTGTAACGGTTTTGGTAATTGTAATTTTCAACCTGGAGACTGTTTCAGCTTGGTGAAGCTAATTCCAATACAAAATCCTTGGGAGCCATTCCTGTTCCTGTTGATTTCAGGAAGATCAGGCCCAAAGCTAGAGACACACTCCAGCTTCCATGGAAATTACAATAACAGCTCTGATCAAATTAGGCATTAGTTAATGCTCAGAGTTTTTATCCAACACTATTCCATCCTGACCTGTGGCTCTGTTGCTGTTCTGGTCCTGGGGAATTGTGGCTTAAATCTGACACAGCAGAAAGTGGGAGCTGACGCTGACTGAAACAGATTTCTCATTATGCATTGCTTTTAAACTAGGATGTATTTTCATTTCCATTTCTGGCCTCTGTACAGTGAAGGCTTGTGAAATATTTTATATTCAAAGATTTCTTAATTTGGATGATGCAGGGGACCTATAGTACCGTTGATGCCAGAATTTATATAGTAATTTTTTACGTGAAGTTTTGATTTCTTTGCAATATACTCAAATTTAAGAATTTAGGCATAGTGTAAACATACAATGACTTGCAGAAACATTTCATATCACCAAACTCATGTTGAATTGACAGGGCTTTAAAAATAATGCATTTTATTAGAAAAATAGTTAAAGTTTTCTTGCTTACAAGGAATGAGCCATTTAATGAGAGCAGTCTGCAGTTCCTTTGCATACCAAGCATTTTTTTTAATATTGAAATAATATTTTTGAGAACATGAAATACAGACCTAATGGATTTTTCTATTTTTCACTAAATTTGCTTCAAAATAACCTCCCTCTTTTTCTTTATGAAACCTCATAGATAATTAAAACATACTCTGAGAACAAAAAATTAAAGAATTAACATCTGTTTGATATTGGTATACATGGCAATCAACCCATGCAGAATATGTGTGAAATGAAACTGTGTCATGCATATTAAACCGTGGAGATTCATGACACATTAATCTTAATCCTCAAGAATACTTCAGTTGTGGATGGATGGATTCTTACAGTTTTAAAGAACACTTGTAAATGGCAGTTGTGATAATTCATGATACAAAGCATACCAAACAAGGCTTTTGTACATAGTGCTTAGTAATTATTTAGCTTCATATTTCAGGAATTTTCTAGCAGTTTATTCCTTTTTCTATACTGACCTGTAGTCTAAAAAGAGATGTGGAAATAATTAACCTTCTGTTTTTTAACAGTATGTGCCTAGTAAGCCTGGGAATTTCTAGAAGTGTTTCTGCAAGAGATTACTGCATTCTGACCATGCCACACATCATTAATTTAAGATACCTAGTCTCAGTTGTTTTTCACTTCCCTTTATATGAATCTGAAATAGCTCATTTGAATGCAGCAGAATGTTTACTTTGGCATAGCAGTTTGCATTGTCGTGCACATACCACTGCTATGACTGGGATCACAATCTGGCCTAACATGCTACAACAGAAATAGTCCAGGGTCTGAGATCCTTTTGAAGCTGTCTGAAAGCAAGAGCTGTTCATCAGCCCACTTTCACTTGCTGTGAAAGACATTTTCAGAGATGTCTTGCAGCAAGAATTTAGCTCATTGTAAAAAACTGCTCCTTGAGTAATGAAATATTTTGGGTTGATATTAGCATTTTATCTAGTTATTGACCAACAAAAGGGAAATGTACAGGCTTCTTGAAAGTCTGTATATTAAATTCAGCTAAATAAATGTCTGATTTGGAGGTTGTTCTTGAATTAAGGGATAAATTTGTAATTAATTTTGCTGGGACACAGTCTGACTACTGACAGTATGTAACTTGATGCTTTACTGATGCAATTCAAAGCAGAGTACTATTTTCTATAAGCTGTTGAGGAAGGTTTAACTTTTACTGGTGGTACACCTCAGTCAGATAAAGAGGTTTTGGCTGTTGGTTATTGGCTATCTTAGCAGCTGGGATCCTTGAGTGATGTATGAACACTACAATGATGAAATGACCTGCAAAATGGGTGTGGGCAGGGGGAAGATGACACTGCACCATCTCCTGAAGCCAGAGACATCTCATATGACTTAGCTATATACCCCAGCCTGCTGTATTGATAGGGATGAGCATGGGTTTATTTGAGGGGAGATAATATTTTCTCTGTACTCATTTTATGCTAAGCACAGGATTGCAGCTGGAACACTCTTGACTGTACTTTCAGCTCTGAAGTGAACCATTTTACCCAAACATTCCATGCCATTTCTGTTTAGTCAACAAAATAAATTACAAGTTTGACTTCAAACCAAATTTTCCTGTATCATTAGCATTAATTTATATGAAATATAGCCATGCAAATGGCAACTCATACAGACCTTCATTGTTTATGACTTTCTACAAGTAATGAAGGTATTTTCTTCTTTTTATTTGCTGTAATGTTGGCAATACACTTAGGCTAACATTTTTTCATAAATCTTTTGCTTTTTATTAGCAAGTAGGAAAGCAAATACACACATTAATGGGCACTAAAACTAAGCAAGGAACCAAAATATCTGTAAGTGATTGAATTATCTGTCTGCTCTCCTCTGCCCCATGAACAGACATGATCATGCTGGGTACTTCAGTAATGTGACTATCTCCATAAGTTATTCAGCCTTCTTTACTTTCTCACATCTGAAATTAGCCTTTCCCACAGCTAAAGAACTTCTGTCTTTTCTACTCTCAGAAACTTATAAAACAGAACTGAATAGAAAACTTAAATGTTGGAGAAAAGAAACAAACAACAAAGCAAAAGAAAAGGGAAGTTACAAGGGCAGAAGACTGGACTTCATAGCCTAAAGTTTCAAGTGCCATATTGATATTGAAAAGATCTATGGAAATGTCAGGATCCTTTTGCAAACTGTGGTCAGTCTCATCAGCTTCAGGATTGGTGTTCTTATTGTAACCAAAGAGTTGAATGATGGTTGTTAAAAAAAGAGGAAGATAAGACAGTAGGTAGGTAAAAATTAAATGCACTGTGAATCTGTTTTGAAGGAACCATCTCTGCTTTCAAATGTCCTGATTGCTTTAAGCAAGCATCTGCATTGCATTTCTCACACAGACGGACCAAATCCTCTTTTTTCCCAACATTTTGTAAATCAGTTGAACAGAAAAACTGAAAAGAATTGAGGGGAATTCTTTCTGACTATTGCTATCAGAGAGATGGTCAGCAATGAGCACTTGCTGTGTGTGATCTTTCATCTTTGGAGAACTGGATCTTTCATTGCATAGAATCAGTATAATGGTGTAGAATATCAGACTTGGTGATTAAAAGTTTTGTGATGTGCTCACCAATATGAGCACAAGGGAAACTCATTTTTTCACATATTACCTTTGTCTCCTGCCCGGATCAGGAGAGCTGTATCCATATATATGTGTGTGTGTGTTTGTGTGTGTGTGTGTGTGTTTATCAAACAGCTGGAGGTTTTCAGTTGCCAGGAAACACAGCCATGGTCATATGCTGATAATCTGGAATATGTTGAATTTAGGGCACTGTATTTATATATCACTGTGGTTCAGAGTTTTTAATGAGCTTCGGAAGAGTTTGTAGCTATAGCAGTCACTAGCCTGGGGACCCTCATTTGGCTAGTCCCCTAGCCAAACCTAGTGGTGTTTGTCAGCCCCAAACATGCTTAATGCAAATTCAGAGTATCATAAAGGAAGGTTCTTTTTTTTCTGCAGAGCACTACTAGAAATCTTCCACTACTGTTTTTAAAGGGGAAAAGTGCAGCTCCCCATCTCAATTCTGGTTGCTTCCTTAGGCTTTCTTTGATCCAGGTTAATATTTTGGAAATGGTAATATCTCTCTGCCAGTGCTAGTCCAGAGCAATTCAGAGCAGCACTTGCATCTTCTAAAAGCCCACTGTCCTTGTAGCTATGCTGGGACACAAAGGGATAAACTACTGTATGTATGCTTCTCTTTTGGGCATACCTGGAAGGGACACATGGAATATCTGGCCATAATGGTGCTTTCAGAGGAGTCAGTGAGAAACTTATGTTAGAGCTGTGGATAATGTATATTGGCAAAAAGCATTCCTTGTAAAAAATGGAGAAGCAATAGAGAACAGGATATGAACATCTCATTAATAACTTATCCAGGGCATGCAGACAGTGCTAAGATGCAAGAACAGAACTAACTC